CCACGAGATTAATGAAGTCACAATAACTGTTTGTTTGCTATCTGTAATAGCATCTATGTCACCTGTGGGAATGCCTGATACCTACTGAACCTTTTCGTGGCAGTTGGCACAAATCAGGCTAATGTCATCGACTGTCCAAGAATGGTAACGACGGACACTTGTGTCGGTTTATAAATGGGGTTATGGGACTCTAACGTAGAAACAGGTCAAACATATTGAGATAGGTGATGTATAAAGCACTCTAGATTGCCGTTGCTTTTACGAATTTTGTTAGGACTACCTACGCCATGAAAGGACGAAATTTTAAGTAACATTAGAACTAGACAGCTTTTCCATTATTGCACAGTGTAGAGACAGACCATGTATCCGAAAGTCCTAATAAAAGCTATTTAGTTTTAGTTTTATTCTCGAAAGAAACGTCACTCTTCGTCGATTTCGGGTGCTGCGGGGGGGGGGGGCATTTGCCAATGCCCCTTTCCTTGATCCGCTAGTGAGTACGTAAAATATGCAGATGGAGGATGTGAACACGCGGTAACTCACCATTGCCAGACGGCCGGAGGGTAGTTCCATGGTAGCGGTGCTGACCGCCTCCAGCAGCTGACTACACCGGCTGGTCCGGTCCGTGAGGACCTGTCCGTCACCTGACCCCGGTGAACTGCCAGCCAGGGGCGGCAGACGCGCCTCCGTCACCCCGGTCCGCCCTCCCAGCCAGTGGCGGCAGCCGCCGCGGTCACCCGGACCAGCAACGACACCGTCTGTCGACCCCGACGCGCCCGAGCCGTGCCGAAGCGTCGCTGCCGACGTCCGACGAGCGACTGCCCCGGGCCGCCGCACCTGGCCGTCCCGACCGCCGTCCCCATCGTCGCGGCCGGCGCAGCGTGCACGTGGAACACACGGAAGCAAGCCGGCTGTCCTCGGATGTCCGTAAGCGGATTTGCTCCCTGGGAGCAACCACAAGGCAGCGATATAGCTAATGACCATTTTATGAATTTTGAGCTAAACAAATTGCACTGGATTACCTCGCCGGACGAGGGGACATTGGTGCTGTTTCCTCATGAAACGTGATGGCTAGGAATGGGTCAATAATAGCTCGGCTTGGTGACCTGAGCGACTTTGGCAAGAACAAGATTTCGACCTGATGTAGAATGTCACTGTACGCTCCTGAACATTTCAAACACGATGGTTCCACGGCTCTGCGGCCATTTTGACCATTTTGACGAAATTATTTCCCATAAACCGGACCCTGCTGCCTATTGTGCCTTTAGACCTTTTAAACTGATCTCAGCGGTCACTGGCTGACCTAAACCTAAAAATTGGATAGGCAGGTAGGTATGCGCCAGTCGTTGGGACTCGTAGGTAAGTCGTAATAGCAGTAGCGCACACGCTCGTTTTTCGCGAAGTTCTAGCGCACCTAAGGGTGAAACAGCAAGGAGGAATGAGCAGCCCGAATCGTGATCATTCTTCCGTTCGGGACAGAAGAAACAGCAAAAGCAATCTGAATTCTGAACTCTGAAGACATTCTATTTACCTCGCTGCCGCTGGCGGTAGCTTATCGAACTGTCCATAGATGGCAGCAAAATCGAACGCCTGAATTTATGCTGTGCCGCATAGACCAAATTGGGTGTCTGGCCATGGATGAAGGAATCCCTTCATCTATGGTCTGGTTCTTGGCCACCCATCCATAAGAAGTTTAAATAGAGCGAGATGTTAAACAAGCCGGTCAGTTCTGAAAATTTGCTATTACAACTGGTGTATTAAGAGGTACAACATTTGTTTTCTTTTCAGATTTACGGATCATGAAGAACCGTTGGTGAAGGCTATGACGTCATTTTCTAGAATCATTTGTGCTACCAGATTAAAATTTTTATATATCAAAAGCGCCACTTCTGTCTATTCACATGTCTTCAGGCGCGTAATGTGTTTGTGGTTTATATTTATATCTTTTTTTTTGCCGTAACTATCTTGATCTAGGTAGTGTGGATTTGGGTTTGAATGTGGCTGCAATTATATTGTTTTGAATACTTCGTTGTTTGTTTTTATACCTTTGGGAATCCCCGATTATCTTGGTTTATTGTTACCTATTGGTAATTTCAAAGCTAGTCCGAGGACATTAAAATGACAGCTGGGAGGAACGTTGACGTGATCTGAAATGTAAGTTGCATTTTGGATGTATCAAATGTTTTTAATTTTTTTCCATTTTAACTCCATTCAATTTTCAGCCACCCATTTGTTTGGTTTTTGGGCCATGTAACACTCAAGTCTCAGCTTCAGTTTCTTTACAGTGCTCAACAATCAACATTGGTTTGCATGGTGGCAATCACAATGCCCTGCATATTGTCATGGTCAGGTGCGTCGTGCGAGATGCAGTTATTTGGCTTCATAATGTTGTGCTTGGATGGGCACTCCATCCAGGACTGCCATCCACTGTTTGAGTACGTGCCAAATATAATGTTGGATTCTAAGGGCTGCGCGTGCCGCCTAATGTGCGATGAAGCACAGTCAGCTGAATATTTGGCAGCTGTTGGGTGCCAAATCATGCACTGATGACTCAAGATTACTTTGATTCACCTGGCTACTTGAAATACTTCACATTTTCAGCATGCAGGCACTGTATGATTACATGCAAAATGCATGCCTAGCCGGTGGACAGCCACCATTTAGGCTTTCAAACTATCTATGGTAGCAAGGTTTAGTATCTATTGGTCCAGCTGATATGGGTGTTGGAACTTTATGTAGCTAAAGGCATTTGGATTTCTGCTCACAATTGTAAAATGAAAGACTACTTCTTAGATGCCTACACACCAGTTTTTAATTTTTGCAGGTGTAAGGTTGAAGGTGCATCTCAAAACATCTGGCAGGTGCCCTAGTCTAAGGGCATGTTCAGTATTTCCTTAGATGAATCATATTATTCACAAAATACCTATTTTACATTGCTTTTGATTTTTTTTATGAAGGACAGAAGAAGGATATATTGGCACAGAATGGGGTGACTGGTGACATGGATGGCCATTTTGTGCACCGCTTACACATTGTGCTTCAGTTTCAAGCAAACTCAACTCATGAACAGGTCCACAGCATGCTGCCAGCTGATTTACCAGTTGCCTCTAATCAAGGATTTGAACAATTGACTTTGAGATATCCTGTGTCACTATACAATAGGAAAGTAATGTTACAGTTTTCCCAAAGAAGAATAATATGATAAAAATATAAATATGAAAGAAGTTAAAAAAGGTGGTAGGTAATGAATTAACAATAAGTATAAAATAGCCTGAGTAATGTTTCCCATTGTTTCTTTAAAGTCAGGCTAAGAAGAATTAAAATGAGTGTAATGCCCTTGTCTCCTGTTGACCCACTGGGTGTGTGTTCCTCTCTGACTACCTGTATGTGTTTATAGGTATCTTGGCCTGTATTGCCTCACTGATGGTGTGCCGGCGTGTTCCAGGCAGCGGCGGCTGGCCGGGGCCGTGATGCCGGACATTGTGCCCAGCGTGGTGCCGGCCGTGCTGCCGGCCGTCCCGCCCGCCGTGCCTCCCGCCGTGCTGTCGGCCGTGCCGCCGGCGGACGGCTGGGATGACTCTGATGACTCTGAGGAGTACGACGGCGACTCGGGTGCCGGCGCCGAGGGAGACGAGGGGACCGCAGATGACGAGGCGCTGCTGGGGAGCGTCGCCTGCGGCCACCCGGTCCGACACCCGAACAGGTGAGTCCGGGAACCGCGGGGACGGATAGGTCCGGTGGGCTGACTGTGGGGCACCGATCGTACAATATGGGCCACTTCACGTTTCAAAGTGTTGCAGGTGTCCTACTTAATTCGTCAATCCAGTCTTTACTGATGTCTGACATAATAAGGCTTTGCAGATGCAACTTCGCGTGGATTTGAAACCCATCCGGCTGCGTTACTGCTGCATCCGTGTTCGATGAACGCCTGTTGTAGGGTGACAAAGGACGATCCTTATCAGGGCGCTCGGTCCGACGTCAGATTGTTTACGGTCCAGTGCATGCTTTGAACCGAATCGGGAAGTCAAAGTCCGGCGCCGTCTATTGGGGTTACATGAGTTCTGAGGCAGTGTTTATGTATCGGTCATAGATGATGTCAGCGCACTGGCTGGTAATGAGACTGGTCCAGTTCCGATGGCCTCCAACTGTACTGCGGCTGTCAAGACTGATTGATGAGTATCATGCATCGCGTTATAGGCCGGCTAGCAACACCGCACATCACTGGGATAAAGGGATAATGATGGGCAACCGTGCAAGGTAGGGCTATCGCACTATCTCTACATAGTGGCAACTAAGCCACACCACTAAGGTAGACAGCTGCTCCGTACCATATGTAAAGAAATGCTGAGATACTTTGGTGGAATGAGAGTAGCTGGCCTGTGCCCACCTTCATAGACGTCCTGGGGAACCTCTCATGAACCGGTAAATGGTACGTTGCCGATGTTTGGCGGTGACAGACTGATTTGTCCTGCCACCTGCTGACAGTCGCTCAAACTACTCTGCTCAAACGCCAGGTGGCGGTGTAATCTCACCGTGAACATCTGAACGGTCTTGCGAGAACCAAAGATATAATTCGACTCCCACAATGCAAAGGTGTGCGTGATATAAGGTGTATGCCGTCCACGACTTCACATGGTAATGGTTGGCAGTCTTCTATGTCCGTGGCCTAAGCAGCCCAGTTGGGGGATCGTCCGATCTACTTGTACATCAGCTGACTTGCGTTGTAGATAGACGAGAGTGGATGCTGACGCCTCCGTTCCGACGTATCCATCCGCAGGATGCTGAAATCCTTCTCCTCCACGCCGCAACCCCCACTCCGGGCTGGACAGGCCCTTCATCGCATGCGGGCTGCTACCTTGGAGCGGCACCGCTGCTCCCGAGGGAGCGCACCCCGTAGCCGAGTGCAGAGAGTGCTTGGGGGCTGGTCGGCCTGTCCATTCGGACAGGCTCAGCCCCGGTGACTCTAGGATGTCTACCCAAGCCAATGTCTCCCCCTAATTCCTATCATCCTTCCGGCTCTGAAATGGTCTTGTCAGACCAAAAGGGGCTGACCCAGCAAAAAAAAAAAAAAAATGACGGCAGCGGCGTTTGGTCAGCGGCAGAGGTTTATTTACGGTGAATGACAAGATGAAGTCGGTATCCCAGGTCGCCCGTGTCCGATTACGTGAGTGTGCCCAACGTTCGACTCTATTCGGTCGTCTTCCTGGACTTTCCTGCTCTTGGGAATTCGCAGGTTAACATGCCACTTACAGAGGGCTCGAACTTTTCGAAAATCTTTTCGTTCAAGTTATTTGAACAAAATCTATAAGCACTTATTTTAACTTCATTTTTTTTGTATTTCTTAAGTCAGTTTTTGTATTTTGTTCTTTCGCGATTGGCGTGCCAAAGTGAAGGATCAAAAATCGATTTAGCACACAAGTTTGCTAAAAAGGTTTTCTTCACTTTTCTCTTGACTTTTCTTTTTAAAAAATCCAAGGATAAATGGCCTTGATCCAAGGCCTCCAAGATTGACTCGATTAACACCTGTAAGGTTGCTGCAAGGTATTATAATTTTAAAGACGGTGGTTCGCGCCTAGCGGTAATAATTTGGTATTTCGAGCGTTCTGTTCTGGTAATTTTGCTTCAGCTACATTGTTGGCACACGTTTGGCAGCGGCGGCCTCCTCTCAGGTCGGCCGGACTTTGCCGCGCCGAACCTTGGCCGGCTATCTGAGACCACGGTCGGTCGGTCGGCCGTCCCATGAGCCCGGCCACTCCGCCCGCCGCCGCCGTGGTGCCCGCTGGCCGCCGTGGGGACACCCAGTGACTGAGGCGCGCCGAGCTGTCGTGTGAGGAGATCCTGCTGACCGGGCCCGACCGGTCTGCCCGCCCGGCCATGGAGTCGCCGCGGAGAAAGAGTCTGGAGCCGCGGAAGAGTCTGGAGGCGCACAGTCTGGAGCAGCGCCGAGACTCGGCCGTGGCGGCCGCCTGGGGCCGGCTCAGCATCACATCGCTGCAGGCCAAGGCAGAGCAAGCGGCCGACGACGAGCCGCCCTCGTAAGACAGTCGGTCGGACGTGGGTGTCAAATGGACGGGACTGGGAGCCTGCTAGGCGAACGGGGACTTTGGAACGTGGCCTTTTCCCGGTCTACCGTCAGAGACCGTGGTCTGGCTAAATGATAGGGCCCTGATCCATGTTGACAGATCAACAGTCTACAGGGGCATTTCAATTGACTGTGCGCGGAGGGAACAATGCGTACCTGCCTGATTTATGTTTCAGCTTTGCTGAACTTATGGCACCGACCGATGCGCATAAACACGTACAACGGCCTTTATTCAATTTCCTTTTTGTCCAATGCGATTCCTGTTTTTTTTTTTTAGGGTTTATCAAATCGCAAAGCTGAAGTTGGCCCAAAATTTGATAAAAGGTGCTCTTTTTCTTGACCTATCTAATTTCTTCGCACCTTCATTCGCTACCGTAATTTTGCACACTTGAAGATTTTTTTTTTTTTAATGTTTTAATCTTCATATTTCGTTATACGGAAACCATGCTGCTGCGCTAACTCATCCCGAATGCTCGTGGCTTTATCTTGCCCTATAAATGCATCCTTATGTAAGGAAACGGAGTCATTGATATGTGCGAGTCGACACTTGTCCCTCATCCATTACATTTGTATCACACTCTCTGGATCCTGCAAATCGCACGGCCTGCCACTGACGACCCGTCTCCCTGCTCTGCTCATTGTCAGGTCGACTGTGATTTACTGCATCTTCTACCTCCTCGGCATGGGCACGCTGCTGCCCTGGAACTTCTTCATCACCGCCGACTCGGTAAGACTCGCGAGCTCGCTCTCATTGTGGATACTGGCAACGATTCTGTCTGTTATCCCACCCTTGATTTTGTTATTATGTTCTTCCTGGACTGATTAAGCCCATTGCATGTCGCTGCTACTGTGGCGCTAAGCCGGTGTTTGCCTTGACAAATGCAGTGGCTTTGTTCGGCCTCTGTTGGACTATCGGCCCGGCAGAGTTGAGTAGCCGGAGCAGTGGGGCCACTCGAGCTATCTGCGGAGCCGGGCGCCCCTCTGAGCTGCCGATTAGTGTTATCGGGCCGAGTCTCTGCACTTCAGCGCCGCAGCGAGGCCCGCTCTGGCCGGGATTAGCGAGCGACTGATAGTCATTGGGTCCTCCGCGTGGCATCTCGGAGTGTGGGGGGGGGGGGGGGTCGTAGGGGATGCGATCCAGACCGAGATCGTTAAAGATAGATGTAATGATGGCGACGGTTTCCATCGCGGTGTTGCTTTTAGCACTGTTTGGCACTGTGACGAGCCGCCCCAAGTTGAGTTGGAGCTCCTTGACTCCGATCGGGTGGCCTTTTCGCAAGCTGAGTCGGCACTTTTGCCCATGGAGGTCTGGAAATATCCGACGGCAGATTGTAATTGTTACTGAGCTCCGGTAAGCAGGTTATTCAGTGTCAAGTTAAAGCGGATATTTTGAACCTGTGGATGTTGTCTGATTGGGCTTGACAGCACTAAGTAGTCGAACATTTTTGGACATAGGAAGTAACTAGTACTGCGCTACCAAGTCTTTCTGTCTCTGCAGCTCTTGCGTGGCTGCGCTTTTACATATTCTCGAAACAATCGTTCACAACGCTCCGCTGTCACCATATCGTTTGAGCTGACGCCATTGCCAAGCCGCATATTTTGAGCCGTGTCCGATGCCCCTTCTCTTTTCCATTGCAGTACTGGAACTACAAGTTCCGGAACGTGACCAGTGACAGCACCGATGACACGGAGCCCACCGAACTGCAGTACAACTTCTTCGGCTACCTGAGCGTGGCCTCCATGGTGCCCAATACCATCTTCCTCACACTGAACGCAGTGCTCGGCCACAAGTGAGTCCACGCCGCGGCGGAGCGGAGGTACGGGGCGGGAGGGGGGTGGACGTCAAGGTTTGACCCTCACCAGTTAGGTCAGTCCGGGAGGCCCGTGGTCCCTACTCCTTACTGGCTTTTACCAATAGCTCCTAGTACAGTCGTTACAGCGAAATCTAGTGAGGTGTAGCTCAACATACCACACGCATCTGACTGCTGTGTGTCTACCTACCTCTCCACCCTTCCTGCCGGCAGCATCAAGCAGCAGGTGAAGCTGGTGTCGTCGCTGATGCTGGTGATTGTGTTTTTCATCATCACCACTGTGCTGGTGCCCATCGACTCGGACGACTGGCAAAACACCTTCTTCGCAGTCACCATGGTCATGGTGGTCATACTCAACAGTGAGTGATCGGAGGGAGGGGAAGGGGGTATCCTCAATAGTGAGTGGGCGGTTGGCTGGGTAGTAGTTATTGGCCTGCATAAGGACATAATCTCGTCAATTTTCTGGATGAGACGCGTGCGATGCGATGCTTAGTTTTCACTCTGGTATTCTCGCTGGCCGATTGTGTTATTTATTTTCGTGTCTGGCTGTTCGCACATCTATACGTGCGGTGTGAATCTCGGCGGTGCGGTCAACTTAAAAAGCCGCCGGCATCTATCAGTTCTCTCTTTTTTGCCGCGATCGTTTTTCAGATTCTGCGTCAAGAGGGATAAGGCGCCTGTCGAGAGCCGTCTCCCGTTTTGACATATCATGCCACTGTCGCAAAAACGTCACAGGCTCATGTTACGCCGAACACTTGAATAAAGTGGTACTTTTGTCGCTTATGTAATAGATACGATTTTTTTTCGTTTCCTAAGTTTATGCATTGTTCGCTGCCATCCCCCTCCGGGTGTAGCATATCTTATGCAGTCTGATAACCCAGAGAACCCATCCTCCCTCGTGCCTATATAACTGATCTTAGTCTTCTCCTCTTCGCTAGGTAACCCCTCTCCATTGTTCCGTTTTCAGTGGGCGCATGTAGCAGTGTTTTAGGGCGGCATGCTCCCTGGCTGTGACCCGGCCTCCGTTGTGTGTTCCAGGGCTGTTCCCTGTTAACCCCTCCCCGCTTTTCCGTTTGCAGTGGGCGCGCGGTGTTCCAGGGCGGCCTTTTTGGTTGTCTGTTCGTTATCTCTGTAATGTTCCGTTTGCAGTGGGCGCCGCGGTGTTCCAGGGCGGCCTGTTTGGTCTGTCTGTTCGTTAACTCTCTGTAATGTTCCGTTTGCAGTGGGCGCCGCGGTGTTCCAGGGCGGCCTGTTTGGTCTGTCTGTTCGTTAACTCTCTGTAATGTTCCGTTTGCAGTGGGCGCCGCGGTGTTCCAGGGCGGCCTGTTCGGTCTGGCCGCCCAGTTCCCGGCCCGGTACCTGTCTGCCGTCATATCGGGACAGGCGCTGGGAGCCGTGTTCGCCTGTGTGGCCAGGTCAGTCAGCGGGAATACGGCTGCCCGCGACGGATATAGATTAACGGGGTGGCACCGGGTACCGTGGGCTGTACCGGACCTTCCGGGGTCGAGGACCGTTTGTTTCGTGTCACATTTCATTACCGGGCGCCGAAATGCTGATTGAAGTAAACTCAGTGATTTTAATTTTTGTCGATCTGATTAATTTAACTTGTGAATGCATTACAGCTGATTGTCTGCGCTGTTTGGCAGTCGCGGGGGAGTCGCTTCCCCGGCTGGCTGGACCCAGATCCGTGTGACTGAGTCTGTCTCTAACCCCTCTCCTCGCCTCTGTATAGGATCGTCTCTATAGCTGTATCATCTGGCCAGGACCCAGACTCCGCGGCCGTCAACTCGGCGCTGGTCTACTTTATCCTGGCTGACGTGACGCTGGTCGTCTCCATCGCCTGCTACGTCTGGATGTCTCGCATGGTGAGATGGCGTGGTGTCCTTGGTGTGGGTTGGGGTCCAGCTACTGTTTCAAAGCTTTACATGAGCCAGGTATTTACGTACGTCCCAGGAAGAAAGTTGAAGCTACGGACCAATTGAGGAGACCTTGCGTCCTAACTTAATCAATGTCAAAGCTAGTGTCTCGGTCCAAGATCACTTGTCGTCAATTGGCGTGGTCGTCTAATCTGTCCGTTGCAATCTGCGCCAGTCTGCCGTTGAGAGGTGCTGTGTCAATAATGAGCTAAGATCTCGGTCCACGGTGGCCACTCGGCGCCGAGGGCTCCAAGGACCCTGGCCTTGTACAGTCACCAGCACTTGCTACTAATCACCTCGTTTTTGTTCAGTAGTTTGAAGACCGATCAATTTTCAGTCGCGCAAGATACGTCAAACGATCCGTTTGGTCCCCCGATTTTCGAATATCTAACTTGTTTTTGTATATTCGAAGCATTTTGGGATGGAGAGCCAAAAAACCTCTTTTCTGCCGTAAAGTGTGCCCCAAGAAGTCGTAGAACCTAGCCCCGCCTCTGATCCACAGACCACTAGTGCCATCTCTTGTCAGCCGAACAAGCCGCAGAAGTAAATAATGTCACGTGACCTTTGCACACGCTACAACTACTACGCAGCTGTAGTGGGGGAAGCGGGGCGGAGGCGTGGAGGGGGACGCGATCGGTCGGCTGGGGTCAGGTCGCCGAGGTCAGAGGTCATCCGCCGGAGGGCGTTTGAGCGGTTGGGCCGTGTGGGCTGGGGCCTGCGGAGTGGAGAGCGCCTGAACCTGTCTGGAAACAAGCCCTACAGCGCTGTGACAGTCGAGAATATTGTGAGGAAAGAGAGAGAGGGAGAGGGAGAGGGAGAGGGAGAGGGAGAGGGAGAGGAGAGAGAGAGAAAGAGGAGAGAGAGAGAGAGAGGGAGAGAGAGAAAGAGGGAGAGAGAGGGAGAGAGATAGAGGGAGAGAGGGAGAGCGAGAGAGAGAAAGCAAGAGAGAGCGAGAGCGAGAGAGAGAGAGAAAGAGAGAGAGAGAAAGAGAGAGAGAGCGACAGAGAGAGCAAGAGAGAGGGCGAGAAAGAGCGAGAGAGAAGGCGAGAGAGAGAGAGAGGGCGAGAGAGAGAGAGGGCGAGAGAGAGGGCGAGAGAGAGAGAGAGAGAAGAGAGAGAGAGAGAGAGAGAGAGAGAGAGAGAGAGAGAGAGAGGAGAGAGAGAGAGAGAGAGAGAGAGAGAGAGAGCTAAGAATGACTGGAGGGAAGGGATAAGGACGGGAGGAGAGAAAAGAGAGACAGAAAAGGAAAACCAGAGAGGGTAAAATGAGAAAGAGGGCAATGGGTAAATCAGTGAGAGGGAGCGAGAGAGGAAATATTTAGTTGTGTCAGCTTGTTTCACATGTAAAACGCAAATTTGCTTTTCATCATTACAGCTTCGGATTGGAAATTAAATCTTAGCATTCTTATGATAAACCCACGTTGACGGGATGCAAAAGCGGCGGAACACCTGCAGTTAGGGGAGGGGGGGGGGACTCTTGGTCCTATTATTTCCATGCAACGCTCATAGGGCTAATGTTGAAATGCAAAAATCAAAGGGGGGCACGGTGCCCCGGTGCCCTCCACGTTCCGCCGCCTATGACGGGATGGGGACGCTTTTATGGTCGTCGTTGGGAGCTCGGCACTAATGGGGTCTGGGGATGATGTTGAAGGTTTCGCAAATGTTTCATAAAAGAGATGCTATTTTTTGCACAACCTATAAAACATTTTTTACGTTTGATATGAAAATGTTAGGCCCAGTTCATTCAAGATCAGGTCCACGACTCCACAGCTTACAACAGGAGCTAGCTAGCATAACAATTAAGTTAACCCGCGCCGTGTTGGTGGCATGAACTTTCCGTCGGGTGCTGGGAGGGGCCGGGGGGCGTTTCACGCCCCTTCGTCTAACTCGGCTCCTGGGCCACGTGGCGACACGCGGTAAGCGGTAATGGAAAGAGCGTCAAAAATAAGGACGAAAACACTCGGTCATTTTAAGGTCAGGGCAAAGGTTAGGTCACCAGGATTCATCAAAGGTCAAATTTTGTTGATTTCAACGATTTTGAACACCCGACGGCTAACTCGGGAACCAATAGAGCTACAGCGCCGCAGAAAAGCGCATTCGATAGCTCTTTTAACGCTCTTTCGCCAGCATGTCCTCAAATTTCACCTCAGATCAACGGTGTAGCCCCCAGCCAGTGGACACCGCTCTGATTGACCTCAAATTTGACCTTCAGATCAACGGTGTTTTCACCGCTCTAGCACGTCTCTGTCAAAAGTCAAAAAACTGCTGAATACCTTTTTTGTCCTAAAATTAACCTCAGGGGCACACACAGGGGTCACAGGTGCGATTTTCCGATTCAGGGTGTCATGTTTATTGTTTACCTATGGACCGATGTTTTGAGTGGGTGTAGAACGAAATTCGTCCAAAAGAGGCGCATTTCAATTTTCTCCCATTGACTTATACCTAATGGAGCAGTCGCAAAATTGACCTGACCTTAGGTCACAGACATAAAAAATCTGAGGTATCCATTTTATATACACTATTACCCTAAGCAATTACTGAAAGTTTTAAAGTCCGCTCAGTCGGTGTAGCTACAGCGAGCTTTCGATTTTTTTTTTCTGAGGCAAGGTCACTTGACGTTACGGTGACCTGACCGTCGCTGTTTTTTAGATATTCGCGAAAAACCTGAGGGGGAAGGGCGTAAACCCCCCCCCCCCCCAGCACGGCGCGGGTGGTCGACATAGCGACTCGGACTGAACAAATGCCTTTAACGTTTTAACGGTTGAATAAGGTGAGAGGATTGAGGTAGGCTTGTATCGGATTTTCTTCTGCTTGTCGGTAGTTTGGGTTGAAGTTAATTTCGCGAGCTGTCCATAATCATTAAACAGGGAAAATTCAGCTGCACATCATTCGGGTCAAAGTAATACCAAACATTCTCAAATTTTGTAGTAAAGAGCCAGTAATCTACGAATATATTTAAAGAACAATTAGAAAAAGAATAAGCGGACCGGTTTCGTCTATCAAAGACTTCTTCAGCGCTTTTTCAAAAACGTATAAGAAAAAAACTAGCAGTGACAATCGTTTGAAATAAAATTGGATTCAGTAAGAACTAAGAACTTCATTGTCCGAAAACCGCTGACAGTTGATAGCTCAATGACACTTAGAGCCGTGCATAAGGAGGCGTGAAAACACTCTCCTCATCTCGTTCTGTTACGAGAGGACCATGTCATGGCGTGAGAAAGGTGTTCTCAAAATAAATGACACTGTATGAGTGAATAAATAATCCGCGCCCCCTTGGGCTATTGGCGGACCCTACCACCTGATCGGGTGGTGCAGCCGTTTCGCCTTCCACCTGAGATCTCGGAAAGTTACCGACCGATTTTGAACATTCAAAGAGCGTTCGATAGCAGGGAACTACCTTGTTGCCAGGTTTTGTTGACCTAGGTGCAACCCATGACGTCACAAGTCAGGTCAAAGGTCGCATTTTTTCACCGATTTAGTCTAAGGAATGCGTTACAGTCAGTTAACACATCTAATAAAAGGCATGTAATCGAAAAACATCGATGGAGCGCTGGTTGTCTAATACATATGCTGCCTAAAGAGGTCATTGATGCCAGGTCAGTCTCAGTTCACAGAGGTCAGGTCACTAAGGGTTACAATATGAACCCAACTATGCTAGGGTCGTGTGATACATGTTTTATGGCCAATTTTACATTTAGAATTCAATGGTGTGGGCTAGACGGCCATTGGGGCCAGTTTAGATTACATTCTGGTGGAGGTCAGGTCAAGGTCAGGTCAAAGAAGGTCAAATTTGAAAGTTGATATTTTGCATAAAAGGGGTATCTATTCGATGCAGCTCATCACAGGAAATCCAATGGTGGTCTTTGGCTTGCTCTGTGTGTTCTCTGACGGCCAAAAATTGAATTTGAAAAATTTTACGTAATAAATTTTGAGTATTTTTTTGGCCATAACTTTGCTAAAAATGGAGCTAACGAGTTTAAGTTTGGCATACCTAGAGCAGATAGTTCTATAACATATATTTCAGTTTTAATTTTGAAAGTTGTTGGTATTTTCGGGGTGTTTACTTCTATAGTTTTGATGGTCAAAATCAATTTTTGTTTGGAAATAAGAGTTGCAGTTTGGTAGCGCTGTTTATTTTACATCTTTTTTATTTTAAATATTTTTCGTTATCTTCAAAACTGTAAGCGTGACAGCTCTTCCCGCAAAACCTTTTATTGGGTCGAAAATGACAGAACATGACATCCCTCTGACATCATTTGTGACTAACCTTTCATAAAAGCTCTAGAAAAATTTGGTCACAAGGTGTAAAAATGATGCCCGGAGGGGTCTTGAAAGTTTGGTGGCGACATTTGCTATACTTTAGGAGATATCGACTGAAAAGGAGAGAGGGGGCCGTTTCGCGCCGCCCTCTCCCCCCCCCCCCCTCAACGGGGCTTTCAGTTGCTGCTCTCACAGAACTATTGGTTATATTACAACGTAGTGGAATTGCAAGTGGCAATGTAAGCTTCCTGCCAGCGCCGGACCAGAGTTTAAACATGCAGGCTGAATTTTAACATTTAACTTTTGAATTTTTAAACCGTTGAGCTTTTTAGAAGTTGTATGAACTGTTCAGCTCCTTTTGTGGTCCATCACAGCGGGCTTGTATGTCATTTGTCAACCAAAATCGAATTAAAAACTTTTTATTTGGTCTGGCTACCTCGCCAACTTCTTAACTGGATCGTTTAGTAGCTTTTGATTGGGCACTGCCCACGTTGTCTGTCTAGCTTTTCGTGTCATAGACACTGTCTATGACACGAGAAGAGGCTGCTGACATCGTTTGTCGCGGTTGGATAATACCAATCCACGTCCCAGTGGCTGCTCGATCGCACTTTCCCTGGCCCACCTCTCCCACCAGGCTAGACTTTGCCCGGCACAGCCGTCGCCTCAGTGCCTCGGGCGGTGACCCGTTCAAAGGGGCTCACAATTCGTATGGTGCCGTGGCTCTCAAACCAATACAGAACAGTTAAACGCAAAGGCTCACTTTCCATATAAGGCGAACGGCTAATTCTGGCGCCGGGGCTTCATTCATGCTAAGGCGCCCAATCACAGCGCCGCATTTCAGTTAGTGTCGGGTGCAAAAGCTACTATGCTCCGCCCCTCCATCACGTGACCCTGCCCTCACGTGGCCTCAGTCACGTGGTGTTTCCACTTCTTGGCGCATGGCGGCGCTAGTCTCGCAGGGGCGGTGGTAGCTTGCTCCCCCGCCGTCCGGGGGTGATGGGTAGCAACTGCTGGTGACTGTACGTTGGATGCGGTCGAGTGGGGCGACCGGTAGCCGCCCACAGTCGAGTGCAGTCTCCGAGCACGGAACACTCGCGGTGCACGGGAGGACAGTCGGACAAGCAGGCCTTATCGAACAGATAGAAAATGGGGGTTCGTCGGGCACAGAGTCTCCTCTCGACAAATTTATCGGCAGAAATGAGGACTTTCTTACGTAAAACAGAAGCTATTTACTTGTTCGAGGCGACATAGTCTAATTCATGTCATGAAGTCTTTTTGAAATGAAATATGAAAAGCTTATATAAACTTTTTGTCGGCATCTTTTTGTCCACAATACTCGGTAACGGCCCTCTGGATGCAATGTCCTGCGTATAACTAAAGGGATCGGACTGCAGTGTCACAGACTTGTCTCCATCATGAGTAGGTGCACAATGGGTAATGACTTCATGCGATGCGCCCACATTGTTCTGGCATGCGACATTTGCGCACCAGTCCTGGGAGCTGGGATGGTGACGGTGACGGTACCGCGGCCTCTGATCATCTGCGAGGGATTCGTATCTCTGGTCTGGAGGGCGACTGCCGCCGCGGCGGTGCCTTCCAATCGATTGCGCCCGGTCTGGATAAGATTGGCTGCGAAATGTGAGTCACTCGAATACAATTACACGGGAGCAGTCAAATAAAACCACAATGTACTGAATCGGGGAAATGGGAGGTGCCATAAAGATTGTCACATGTCACAGTTTGGTTTTATTTGGACACCGCTGTCCTGGACTTAACACTCCCTCCACATATCTTCTCTGTCGCTCTACCGCCCGCCGTCATATAGATGATATATGTCTCGGCTCTGCACCCAGTCGTTTAACGAGCACTACAATCCCGCGGCCTCCGATGAACTCATTCCCTAGTCCCTACCCTCTCTGACCGTCCCTTGTGTCTGTGTCCCTGTCCAGGCATTTTACAAATACTACTTGCGAAATGACGAAATGACAGACGGCGAGGGCTGGCGTCTGCCACCGATGAACTCATTCACTCACTCACTCCCTGTCCTGTCTCCAGTCGTTTTACGAGTACTACACTCGGGCGTCCCGGCTGACGTCTGCCACTCCCTCCCAATACTGACCGGTGACTCGGTGTCTCCCCTCCCAGTCGTTTTACGAGTACTACACTCGGGCGTCCCGGCTCACGTCTGCCACCGATGACGAGTCTGTGGCACGGGCCGACTCAGAGAGGTCTAACGACATCTCCGTCTGGAGAATCTTCCTCAAGGTAGGGCGCTCCGTGATTACGGCGACTGTATAGTTTCTTTATTGACAAGTGTCTGCTTTTGCTGTCAGAAAGGAAAGAGATCGGCGTTATTTGTTTTATTAAGCCTTTGTTCCTCAAAGTTCAGTAAGAATGCTGCCTACGCCTCAGTATTAGGCCGGTGCCCAGCCTCGCACTTACAAAGCACGATAATGTATGGCATAGTCTGAGCCACAATCACGGCGAGCAGCACGTCTCGTCGGCCGGCTGTCCCCGCCGCCTGCCCGTTGTCGGTACCCGTGCAGCCCGCTGACGCTCCGTGTGTCCCCGCCGTCCCCGTTCCCAGATCAAGTGGTACGCGCTCTCCGTGTGTCTGGTGTTCGTCGTGACGCTGGCGCTGTTCCCGGCGGTGACGGCCAAAATCATCCCCAAACGCCAGGAGGACGGCGACCCAAACACGTGGACGAGTAGGTGGCGGCGAGAGGGGAGGGAGCAGGGGTGACCCCACCACTTTGGCCAGTAGGTGGCAGCATTTTCGGACGGTGGAGGGGAGTGGGGGAGGCTGCGCTCTGCAGCGTTCGGTTCTTGTTGACGGGCATTGAACATGATCGGGATGTGAGGGTTCAACATTCGGATCAATCGTTTTATAGTTCAAATCTACTAAGATGAGAAAAAAAATCAGAAAAATATGGTTATCGATATATTTTGTGAGTGTTAACGTTTTTAGTTGTTGTTGTTTTTTTTTGCAGTGGTTGACCGTGTCATGTCGTGTTTCAGGGGATTACTTCGTTCCCGTGTGCTGTTTCCTCCTGTTCAACGGCTGTGACTATATCGGCCGGATCCTCGGCGGATTCACCGTCTGGGTGAGTGTTTAGTGACAGTTTTGGAGCAGGACTGGGGACTGGGGACTGGAAGGCATCAGCTAACCTAGCCTCAGGTTAGAGCCTTCTCTAACCTGTGCTTTGTGTCTCATCACAGCCCAAGATGAACCACTGGTACCTGGTGCTGGGGTTCACGCTGTTGCGGTTCGCCTTCTTCCCGCTGTTCATGTTCTGCAACAACGGCCAGAAGAACCTGAGCATCGTGTTCGAGGAGGACGCCTACTACATCGTGTTCATGGTGGTGTTCGGCCTGTCGAACGGCTACCTCTCCACCCTCTGCATGATCTACGGACCCAGGTGAGATGGGTGGACGGCTAGCCGGCTGCTGTCGGGGCAGGGCAGAACCGGATCGAGTGAGTCATGATTATGTGGACGAAATAGCTCATTGAGTTTGAATTACTCAAACCCAGCTAGCTCAATCATGTACCAATCTAGGCCATTGATTTTACCTCTCGACAGTCTGACGGCCTTGTTTACCTCAGTGACAATGCGTTGATCCAGTCAGCAGTCTGACACTCTCCCCCCCCCCTCCCCGATTGCCAGTCTGGTGGAGCCGGAGGAGCAGAACACGGCCAGTTCTATGATGGCCGCCTTCCTCGGCCTCGGATTGTGCTTGGGCGCTCTTCTAAGTAACCTGTCCATCAGTCTGCTCTGACCTCCATCGGTCTGCTTTAACCGAGACGGAGGCAGGACGGACGGTCAGTCGGCCCTAGTCGGACTGAGGTAATGTTGCGCGGTGCGAGGTACGCAGACGCCGCGAAATGTCAGTCGCTGTGAGACTCGTGACTGAGGTTCTACTGAGCAGGGGCTACCCGTCCGCACTGACTGGCCACAGGACGCCACTGGATGATAATGATAGGGGTGGGTCTAGCCGCGGCGACCCGATGTTGTGAGGAGAGTCGGCACGGTCGAAGCGTGCTGCTGCCCCAGTCGCGACGACGGCGTCTGCTTTTTTATTCCACGGGCGGTGACAATCTTACCGACAGCGGCCGGTGCCGAGTATTGCGAACTTGCCGGCGGTATATCGGAGTGTTTTTGAAGGCGTACTGAGCTTATGAGGTCAGACTGCAGAGCGGTCAGGTCGGAGTTGATCAGGGCTCTATCGTAGTGCCTGTGCTATTTAATTTTACACGACTTATCAAATAATCGTGAGTTCCTGCTAGATTTCTGTTTTACTGCCCTTTGAACAAGTTAAGGGGAATGTACCATTGTACATATAGGTACCAATTACTATTTTGTGTGCATGGTTACCCGGCAATAGGTATGCACCTTAGGTCCGAATTAAATTGTACAACAATCGTCGGCGATCTCACGTCACCGCGCTACGTTGCCATCGTCTGTTGATACCGTAAAGGTCCTTTGACGTTTAACCAGAGTCGAAGTCGCTGGCCGCACACTTTCTATCCGCGGTCAGCGCTGTACTTACATAATTTTCTAACCCCAACGTTTACCGGGAGTCGAACCAAAGCATTTGTGTGGAGCGGGGATCGTGTTGTGCGCAGGGGACATCAAACGACAGTAGATAGCTGCCGCCTGTTGGTCGCATTTGCGTCATCCGCAAATCGTCGGATGGCGACACTACTATTACGGTGTATTGTTGAAATGTGCATATGTCAGAAATGGTGTTTAAGGAGCTGTGATCGCACAAAACGCGACACCCGTATCATTCACGGTCGTTATCCCTCACACTGCTGCTGAATTTCTGCGGATTCGACCACAGCAGGGCCGCGGGGACAGCCTCGGACCAACTCATGGGACCAGTGCCTTATCGTTGCGGGCCTCCAGGGCTAAGCGCTCATACAGTACAAGGCGAGCCGTTTTTCCGCGCGCTCCTGTGAGGATGGGCAACAGTGCTGTTGTGTGAATGCGTTGGCGTATATTGCAGTGCGTGATATGATATTTAATAGCCGAACCGAATACATGGTTATCCCACCGAGATATCGTGTTGACAATTATGCGTCGGAACTCCTGAACGGTTCGTTTGCCTACCAAATCAGTCAATTCTCAAAACAAATAAGACGTCCTCCTACTGATGTATTGCACTTCGTTCACCAAACCCATAACGCACGCACGGGTAAAACGTTGCGCCCGCACATCACAACCCAAAACCAACTTACAAGCTCAAGGAAGCCCCACGGTTCCGCACATGAACGCAGCAAATAACCTTTCAGGCTCCTTGCTCCCATACTTTTTTCTGGCCACCGAAACCCACACAATATGGAAGTCCGTCTGGGGATCCTCGGTTCCATTGGCAATTCCGCAGAACAAGCAGTGATAAATAAAAACAAAGTGCTTAGATATAGACTGCCAAAGAAAACGTCATGATAAACACTAGCCTGAGCAGCGAGCAATGTTTCCAATGATATACTACAATCCACATAGATTTGTGCAATTGAAATCGACATAACGTTGACAGCTTGTGTAAATAATTGAGTGCCAATATCATATGTTCATCTATCGATTCCCCCAGTTGTCCGCTCGTGAGCTCCACAGGGTCCTGGCCGGCCTAGTCACCTTGAAAGACTTCTATCATATACGGCACAGATGTCACGGACACTTACAATGCCTCGATAGGCGAATAACCGTTACGAATATGAGACAATTCGGATATCATTCAGTGTCGTACAAACGCACAATTCTCGGTTAGGCAGTCGCCAACATAACTGTCGGGCGTCGGCGCATGCTCTATCAAAATACTTACTTTCCGCCACAACTCACAGAGTCGCTGGATACTCACTGTTGAATGTAAACACTATAAACTGCAGCTACCTGATGTCGCGGCACTAACGCTGACCCCGTCAGCTTACTACCCCGTCCACGACCGTCGCCGGATCCGCCGACCTCAGCTGGCCGAGTCTCTGTCGGCGCCGCTCGCCTGCAGCTGCTGCTGATAGGCCCTCCAGGCCGCGTCCAGCCGGCCGGCCAGCTGCGAGAGCTCGCGGATCTTGGCGCCCTGCTCCTCCACCGTGAAGCGCAGGTCCTCGACCCGCGAGTCGAGCTCTGCCAGCCGCTGCTGCTGCGCCTCCTCGCGCGCCTCCTCCTTGGCCGCCGAGCGGTTGTACTCGTAGATGAGGATGGTGGCGGCGATGGCGAACACGATCCCTGCCAGCAGCAGCAGCGCCGCTCCTGAGGAGCGCGGCGACACCGCCATCGGAGCCGCCGGCAGCCAGACGCCGACACAGGGGCAGGAGTAACGAGTACCTACTGCTCCTCAGGAGCGCGGCGGTACCGCTCCTGAGGATCCGCCCAGGCCGAGACACCGACAAGGAGGGAGGGGGAGGCGTAACAGGTCTAACAGTACCGCTCCATGAGGAGCCACCCGGACTGAGACACTGAAATTGGAGAGGAGGGGAGGCATTATTGGGAGAGGAGGAACCACATGTGATGGTAGAATGTACAGTGGGGGGGGGGGGGGCATGAGAGCAAGGTTTGGGATGTGGCATGATATGGAGTAAGAAAAGCAATCCATCATGAGAGTACATTTAACAAATCCATACTTTTTCACAGACCTTTCATTTGTGCCTCACAGTGACAGGATGACACCTACCCCATTTATTTCAGGAAAGCAGTAGTAACTAATGGGTGTAAACTGAGATGTGCTAATCTTCAAAGATGGTCCATCTAGATATGCAAAGACCAGTAGGCTCAAGGGAGACAGTATAAGTAGGCAAAAGATATCTATTAAAATCCAACTGATGACAAATCAAGAATTGTATTTGCTATCAAAACAGTGTTTAATATAAACAGCAAACATACACACTTACCCTCTCCAATCATGTTAGCTCCAATTTCAATAGCCATGGTCTCATTAAGCTTGGGGATTTCTCCAGATCTCCCAAGGCCAAGAACCCATAGCCGGGTTTTCACCTCACACCAGTGGTAGACTGAACAAAAAAGCATGTCAGTTATACATGTCAATGTGAGACATCAACTTACCAATGAAAATATTTTCAGGATTAAAATTTTATAAATATTAATTGAACATGAGAAAATGATATCAAACACAATATAAAAGGAAAATTAAGTATTATTTCAGCAGGATTACTCGTGATTACAGCTTAGTTTTATGTACCTAGTGATAAGCTTACATTTTTCAAATCAGCAGTGATAAAGAAAAATTATGTTAAACGATTGGCACAACAGCCTTGGCACAGCATATACTTCAGATGAACATTTACTATTTATAAAGATATTTAACTTACTTTGAGCAGGTGGCATGCACACATAAGTGCGGAAAAAGTAATGATTCTTTGCCCTTTCCTTCATCGAGTTGGCAATGGGTCTGCTAATTTGTCTGATAATAAGTATTCCCAGCTTTGAAAGCGGAAATGATCCACCCATTGTGGCTAAAAATGCAAATAAATAGCCCTCAGATGCAGCTTTGATCTCTCCGCCCACCAAAATCTATGAGCCATATTTTGTCTCATCAACACCGTTTTCGTAGCACGTTGGGCTGCCATATTTCTTCGGCACATAAGAATCCCCCTACGACCGAAGAACATTGGAATTTGATTGGAATCTAATCCAGTCACTCCTTCCCGGGTTCGTTACATTAGCCCTGCCAATTCGCTTTGGAATCATTGCATAGCACCAAATAAAAAAAAAATCAGCAAAATCGGCTAAAGCGAGGTAATACTGTATTTCAACAGTGCCTGTAGCGGTAAATGTGTTGTCCTCTGAGTCTGGTGTGCTTTTTTCAAATGGCACGACAAACCCCGGCACCATATGGCCACGTTCATGACCATACGTCCTGTTTATATTGGCCATCTTTCTGCATTTGCTTTACCGTAGCCTTCGCCTCGTCAAGCGGCACCCCCTTGGCCTGGGCTACGGCCTCGACTACGACCTCCTCGACCCCGGCCGCCATCCCCCTGGCGTCGCCACACACGTACAGCAGCGCCCGGTCCTCGAGCAGCCAGCGCGCCAGCCGCTGGCTCTCCTCGCTGAGCACGTGCTGGACGTAGCGCTGCGGTCCGCCGGCGCGCGAGAACACGGCGTCCAGCCTGGTGAGCGCGCCGTCCCTCTGGGCCGCCTCCAGCTCGTCCCTGAACAGGTAGTCGTGCTCGCGGCTGCGGCAGCCGAACACCAGCCAGGCGGGGCCGGCGAGCCGGCGCGCCCGCCGCTCCTGCAGCATGCCGGCCAGCGGCGCCAGTCCGGTGCCGGCGGCGACCATCAGCAGCGGCCGCGCCGCCTCCGCGTCCGTGTCCGGCAGCCGGAACTGGCCCGGCCGGCGGCGGTACAAGGGCACCGTCAGCGACCTCGGCTCCTCCTGCGGCTGCGGGCCGGCGGCGCGCAGCAGGCCGTCCAGCCAGCCGGTGCAGAGGCCGCGCGCCGGCTCCTCCACCACCGAGAAGACGATCCGCAGCCGGCCCGGGTGGAGCCGCGGCGAGCTGCTGGCCGAGTAGGGCCGCGGCGCCAGCGGCGGCAGCTGCTCCAGCAGCAGCTCCAGCGGCGGCCGGCAGCTGGGGAAGGCGGCCAGCAGCCGCAGCGTGCCCACGCCGCCGGCGCGCACCAGCCGCAGGTACTCGGCGCCGCCCTGCCGGCTGGCCAGCTCCTGCAGCCGGCGCCGCTGCCGGGCGTCGGCCGTGTGCGCCGGCAGCGCCTGCAGCAGCGGCTTCTTGGGCACGGCGCGCACGTCCAGGCGGTGGGTGAGCAGGCGCCGCGGCGTGTCCGGCGCCTCCAGGTGCGCCGGCACCCGGGCCGCCTTCTTGGCCGTCTCCGGGATCAGCGTCACCCGGCAGGGGGTGTCGGCGCGCTCCTCGGTGCCCGTCAGCCGCAGCAGCTGCGCCACCTCCTCGGCAGAGTTGGGACAGAGCACGCCGACCGTGTCGCCGGCGTCCACCTCACCGCCCAGTCCGGAGCCGTCCAGCGTCACCGCCCACACCGTCTTCAGCGCCTGGGGCGCGGTCAGCCGCTCGGCCCGCAGCACCGGCGCGCGGCACACCGGGCCGTCGGCCAGCGGCAGCGGGCCGCGCGCCAGCTCCGAGTCGGCCGCGGCACCGGCCGGCCCCTCCGGGAGGTACTCCAGACGGAGGAAGCGGGCCGGCGCCGGCGGCACCGTCAGCTTCACGGCCGCCAGCGCCTCCGACAGCTGCGTCAGCGCGGCCGGGACCGGGCCCGCACCCTCAGAGGAGACCATGGCGGCGGCGGGACAGCGAGCTGGCTCCCGAGACTGCAGCTGGCCGACTTCTGCGGCTCTGGCGGCGGCGGGCTCAGCCTCTGCGACGGTAGCGAACTGGCTCCTGCGCGGTGATCCAATCCAAATGTCAGGGACTTCGACGCAATCGCAGTGACGATAGCGTCAACAATCAAGGGTTCTTTGGGATCAGCTATGGATGGTATAAGGGTACCATGAATGGGGACGCAGCTACCGTACCTGCTGTAGTCCGACGCCCCAGAGGAATGGAAACGCACATAAAGTTTCCAGACCAGCGACCATTTTCCCAGAGGCGAGTCGCTGCATGCACCGCAGACCAGTAAAACAGCCATTCACTTCAATCATGTATATCGAGTTCATGTCACGGATAACCAAATCACACCATAGGAAACGTTACGTCAAGCAGAGCACCACAAGAACTAAAGCCTCGCTGTAAGCGGGTACAGCAGACACTAGAGATACTAGTCGAGTCGTCGGACGGGCCGTGCCGACTCTGTGCCGTACGGACCCGTACACTTCTATTAGGATTGTGTTGTACCGACCGTCCATAAACACGATTATTTGTCGAACGGGCAGTCCACGTAGCGAAATGTGTTTGACTCGACACACCCTGAAGCCAGGCCATGCCTCACGGCCGACATATGCGGCCCTAGCCAACGTTGTTTATAACGGAACACCCCAGCGCAGGTACTATCGAATATTGCGACGTACCCATCTAGGCAAGTACAGCTAGCGCGGCATCAGTGGTGATACCTTCATAAACTTATCCAGACCTAGAACTGTGTCACCTAAGACTTATCAAACTTCCATAAGATATGCATGGCAAATCACAAACTACAGACACAGAGCTAACAAAACCTATGATTGTGTCGTTACGCCGAATTTTCCTAAAACATTGCTCCGGGCACGTCACATGCACGATGGAGGCCGCAGCGGCGCACCCGCCAAAGGCCACAGTCGTCCTGAACTGACCGCCGATTAACCTACCTCTGCCGACCAGACTCCCGCGAGCCGCGACACTACCACCTCCCGCCCGCTCGCCGCCGCCCGGACACGAATCTGCGCGTCATCACACTACCTCTACGGTCCGCCGGTCGGGGCCGAGCCCCTCTGCTCGTCCTTGGTTATCGCCTGAGCGGGTGACAGGCGGCCCGGCGACGGGCCGGCCAGCGGCCCGCCAAAGCAGGGCGGAGACGGGCCGGAAATGGCCGCACAATGCACAGACAATCAGATCTGAGTCAACTGGACGCATCGGGAACTGGCAGATACTCGAGACGTCGATGATTTTGTAAGATGCTTTAACAGTATAGAAAGTGGAGCGGGGTTGTTCTTGACAGATAACGTACACGCACAAACAACATCTTAAAGCAGCTAGGCATTCGTAGACAAAGACATTCATTATCATGGAGATCCTACTGGTAAAAACATCGAGCAATGTCCTGCGATTCCATGACGATCATCTAGTGAAATGTGCGGTAAATTCCGTACACCTGACCCCAGCCCAACCGTGGCGGGCAGTTCAAACACTCGCGAGCGCGCACACAGGCGTCACGTCGGCTTGAACTTGACCGAGTAACCGCCGGCCTCGTTCTGTTCCATCTGGAAATTATCCGTGGATAGTCCGAACGGCCGCATGAACATGTTGCCCAGCTCCTTCAATTTGCCGAGCATCTCGCTCTTGAGCTTCTCGTTTCTCTCGGCAATGAGCGGCGGCAGGCGGGTGACGGCGCGGCGCGCCTCGCCGCAGTCGGGACGCAGCTCCAGCAGCCGCTTCCAGTCTTCCAGCGCCTCGTCCAGCCGCTCGGTGCGCTCGTAGATCTCGGCGCGCCGCTGCAGCGGCCGCGCGTACCCGGGGTCCAGCTCGAGCGCGCGCGAGCAGTCGGCCAGCGCGCCGGCCTCGTCGTCCGCTCGGGCGCGGCAGGCGGCCCGGTTGGAGAACATGACGGCGCGCTCGGCGCCGGCCGCCAGCGGACACAGCTGCAGCGCGGCCGTGTAGCGCTCGCGGGCGGCGTCGTACGCAGCCGCCGCGTACAGCTGGTTACCGTCGGCCTTGAGCAGAGCGGCGCGCTGCCGGCGCTCCTCGCGCTCCTCCTCCGTCTGCTGCTCGTCCAGCTGACGGAGCGCCGCCTCGTCCACCGCGTCCGGGTCCGCCATCAGCTCGGCGTCGTCGTCACTGTCGCGCGCCGCCGCGCCGGTCGCCGCCGGAGCGTCAGCGGCGACCGACGGGTCCGGGCTGCGCTCCGAGTCGTCCGGACTGCGCTCCGAGTCGGACGCCGGACGGGACTGGGAGTCGGCCACGGCGTCCGCCAGCTGCGCCATGTCCGGGGCGGCTCCGGCCGGCCGCGGCGCCGCCTCATCCAGCGGCGAGCCGGCGGTGGCGGCCGCGGCGGGCTCCGAGCTCTCCAGCACGTGCCAGCTGCGCGCCATCGTCTCCGGCGTGGAGCCCGACTCGGAGGAGTCCGCCTCAGAGGACTGGGAGGCGCGCGGCCGCTCGTCGCCCTCGGACTCGTCCCAGTCGCACTGGCCGGCCACCCCCGGCGCGGCGGGCGCCTCGCTGACACTCAGATCCCGGCCGACTCCGTCGGGCGCCACCTCAGCGGGCGGCGCCGGCTCACTCCGGCACTGGTGGCTCTCCTCAGCGGGCGCAGAGGGATCAGCCGCCGCGGCCGGCTCATCTGAGGGGGTTGCTACCTCAGAGACATCTACAGCGCTGGAGTGGGACGCAGGCTCACTCGCAGGAGATTCTCCTGAGCAAGGAACATCGGCATCGGGACTAGGAGTATCTTCTACTGAGCTGAGCCGGTCCGCCACTGAGTCGGTACTCTTCTGACCCGGACCGGCAAGGTCTTCTGATGGGCTTAGGCGGTCCTCCACGGGACTAGTCCGGTCCTCAGCTGGGGTGGTCCGGTCCTCAGCCGGGCTGCTCCGACCCGTGGGTGAGCTGGTAGGGGCTCCCGCTGAGCTAGTACGGTCCTCCGCTGGGCTAGTACGGTCCTGGGCCGGGCTGATCGGATCCTCCGCTGGGCTAGTCCGGTCCTCTGTGGGACGGACCCGGTCCCCATCTGAGCTAATTCGTTCCTGAAGCGGGCTGATTCGGTCCTCGGCTGGGCTGCTCTGCCTCTGAACCGGGCTAGTCCGATTGTGGACCGGGCTGGTGCGTTCCCCCGCCTGGCTGATGCAGTCCCCTGCCGGGCTGGTCCAGTCCCCCGCTGGGCTGGTGCGATCGTCGGCCGGGAGGCGGCAGTCCTCGGGAGTCGGACAGTCCTCGTAGATCTCCTCA